ATTAACAAGCCGAATTTTCTTAAAATAATAATTATCCAATTGTTTTCTGATGGAATGATAAAACTTTCAATTACATTATATATGATTTGATATTTTTTTAAATTTAAGTCAAAATTAACATTGAAATGTAATCAAACGTAATCTAACCTAAACTAATATAATTAACGTGCCGCCGGAAGCAAGAATCAAGGAGTAGAAAGCTGGAAGTAGAGGAGGAAGATTAGAAATATTAAACTGCAAAGTTTAATATATGTTATATGTATGTTTATATATATGTTAATATATGTTCAATATTTGTTTAATAAGCAAACCACACATCAGAAGATGGTGAAACCACGACGTTTCGGTCCGTCCTGGACCATTATCACACGACTTGATAATGGTCCGTCCTGGACCATTATCACACGACTTGATAATGGTCCGTCCTGGACCATTATCACACGACTTGATAATGGTCCAGGACGGACCGAAACGTCGTGGTTGCCACATCTTCTGAAGTGTGGTTTGGTCATCATATCTTCAGCCACGTTATGGTGAGTCATCATCAGCAAAGCATTTCAGTATTACAATGAAGGCAGATAAAGTAAAGAGCCTCACATAACATTATCCTGTTTGAGAAAAACCGTAGGAGCCGTGAAGAGGGTTTGAACTTATGCGGTGGGTGTTCCCACGCACATGCTTTAGCCACTACACCACGACATGGTCAAAAGAATTGCAACCTGGAGTTTTACTGAACACACAAGGGTTTCCTGAGGCTTCCACTGAAGCCAGATCAGGATTTTATCACAATCCCCCATGCACTCTGGCTCTGTCATCCAGGAATATTATACTTCGTCTTTCAATACACAGAGAGTACTCACACTAACAATGAGAAATTCAATTTTCTTCCCAGCAAATACACAACGTAACTGTTTCTATTTTCTGCTTGTTACAACTTGTAATAAAGTTGTAAGTTGTAATTACTTTATTATTTGTAATAAAGTAATCTTGTTATAACGTTTTTATGGTGTATTTGAACGTTGTTACAACTCGCTATATTGGATGTTACAATTAGTTAGGTGTTAAACCGTGTTTGAACGTTGTAGCAACATCGTAATTTCGTCGTGTGTTTGGCGGGTTTGCATAAATTTTCTCACTGATGCAGTCACGTTAGTTTGATTACTCTCTGTGTATTATCGTGTTTAGTAAAGCAGAAAATTATCACAGTGTACTGTCCAAGTGAATATGGAATATTTACAATGTAAATGGAACAAATTAATTTTTATGCGGATCAATTCAAGTACTTCGGCCTACCATTAATGATGTCAAGAGAAACGTTAAATATTGCAGCAAATTGTGGACCTTCAGGTAAAACAAATCCTGTAACCTGTACCGCTTACACCAAGAGCCCAGGCAATACAAACCAGAGTAATGCCATACAAGGACCTTATTATATCAATAATGGAGATAGACAATATGGGGCCAGATATAGGCTGATACCCAAAGATTACGTTCACATCCACACATTAAAATATTAATACAATTTTAATCGATGTCTTACATCAAAGTTGAGTTTAATATTTATACTGAATTAATAAAAATTTAAAGCAGAAGCGCAGAGAAAATACTCAAAACATTTGAATATTTCTTTGTTAGACGTTAAAATGTAAAAATTAATGTAGCTATGCTTTGCATTATTTGAATGTACAAAAAGGGCAAAATATCTCGGATACATTTCGAAAAGCAATGTCAGAAGAAAAATACAATTCAATTACCCGGAAAGTTTAACGTGTTGTGCTGATCGAGGCCGGCGAAGTCCCTGATGTTCTTGACCTTCTTGGCCCAGCCAGTCCGGAAGAGGACGAGGGCGCCGTCAGGGATGGTGCCGTGGTCGCTCTCCCACTGCTCCAGGTCCCGCACCTTCACCTCGTAGTTCTTGTCTTGCGCGTTCTTGATGGGCCCCGACACGTCCACCACCACAGCTGTCACCAACCACACACAGTTACACACTCGCCTCACGCCACACAACCACTCAACTAGATGGGTCTTTACACTTAATATGTTTGGCTTCGTTTTATTGCACCATTTTGTAAACATTGGTAAGGCCAAGGCAACAACAATTATGTGTAATAAATACAGCTTAAATGAAAACAGAAATTGGCTTGGGAAGGCAGGGAGGAAACATTAATAATTAAACCTGTACCGCCTGGTACTCTACCACAGTGACTCACCTGGTACTCCACCACAGTGACTCACCTGGTACTCCACCACAGTGACTCACCTGGTACTCCACCACAGTGACTCACCTGGTACTCCACCACAGTGACTCACCAGGTACTCCACCACAGTGACTCACCTGGTACTCCACCACAGTGACTCACCTGGTACTCCACCACAGTGACTCACCTGGTACTCCACCACAGTGACTCACCTGGTACTCTACCACAGTGACTCACCTGGTACTGCACCACAGTGACTCACCTGGTACTCCACCACAGTGACTCACCTGGTACTCCACCACAGTGACTCACCTGGTACTCCACCACAGTGACTCACCTGGTACTCCACCACAGTGACTCACCTGGTACTCTACCACAGTGACTCACCTGGTACTCCACCACAGTGAATCACCTGGTACTGCACCACAGTGACTCACCTGGTACTCTACCACAGTGACTCACCTGGTACTGCACCACAGTGACTCACCTGGTACTCCACCACAGTGACTCACCTGGTACTGCACCAGAGTGACTCACCTGGTACTCCACCAGAGTGACTCACCTGGTACTCCACCACAGTGACTCACCTGGTACTCCACCACAGTGACTCACCTGGTACTCCACCACAGTGACTCACCTGGTACTCCACCACAGTGACTCACCTGGTACTGCACCACAGTGACTCACCTGGTACTCCACCACAGTGACTCACCTGGTACTCCACCACAGTGACTCACCTGGTACTCTACCACAGTGACTCACCTGGAACTGCACCACAGTGACTCACCTGGTACTCCACCACAGTGACTCACCTGGTACTCCACCCCAGTGACTCACCTGGTACTCCACCACAGTGACTCACCTGGTACTCCACCACAGTGACTCACCTGGTACTCCACCACAGTGACTCACCTGGTACTGCACCACAGTGACTCACCTGGTACTCCACCACAGTGACTCACCTGGTACTCCACCACAGTGACTCACCTGGTACTCCACCACAGTGACTCACCTGGTACTGCACCACAGGGACTCACCTGGTACTCCACCACAGTGACTCACCTGGTACTCCACCACAGTGACTCACCTGGTACTCTACCACAGTGACTCACCTGGTACTGCACCACAGTGACTCACCTGGTACTCCACCACAGTGACTCACCTGGTACTGCACCACAGTGACTCACCTGGTACTCCACCACAGTGACTCACCTGGTACTCCACCACAGTGACTCACCTGGTACTCTACCACAGTGACTCACCTGGTACTGCACCACAGTGACTCTCCTGGTACTCCACCACAGTGACTCACCTGGTGCTCCACCACAGTGACTCACCTGGTACTGCACCACAGTGACTCACCTGGTACTGCACCACAGTGACTCACCTGGTACTCCACCACAGTGACTCACGAGGTACTCCACCACAGTGACTCACCAGGTACTCCACCACAGTGACTCACCTGGTACTCTACCACAGTGACTCACCTGGTACTGCACCACAGTGACTCACCTGGTACTCCACCACAGTGACTCACCAGGTACTCCACCACAGTGACTCACCAGGTACTCCACCACAGTGACTCACCTGGTACTCCACCACAGTGACTCACCTGGTACTCTACCACAGTGACTCACCTGGTACTCCACCACAGTGACTCACCTGGTACTCCACCACAGTAACTCACATGGTACTCCACCACAGTGACTCACCTGGTACTCTACCACAGTGACTCACCAGGTACTCCACCACAGTGACTCACCTGGTACTCCACCACAGTAACTCACTTGGTACTCCACCACAGTGACTCACCTGGTACTCCACCACAGTGACTCACCTGGTACTCCACCACAGTGACTCACCTGGTACTCCACCACAGTGACTCACCTGGTACTCTACCACAGTGACTCACCTGGTACTCCACCACAGTAACTCACCTGGTACTCCACCACAGTGACTCACCTGGTACTCTACCACAGTGACGCACCTGGTACTCCACCACAGTGACTCACTAGGTACTACACCACAGTGACTCACCTGGTACTACACCACAGTGACTCACCTGGTACTCCACCACAGTGACTCACCTGGTACTCCACCACAGTGACTCACCTGGTACTGCACCACAGTGACTCACCTGGTACTCCACCACAGTGACTCACCAGGTACTCCACCACAGTGACTCACCAGGTACTCCACCACAGTGACTCACCTGGTACGCCACCACAGTGACTCACCAGGTACTCCACCACAGTGACTCACCTGGAACTCCACCACAGTGACTCACCTGGTACTCCACCACAGTGACTCACCTGGTACTCCACCACAGTGACTCACCTGGTACTCCACCACAGTGACTCACCTGGAACTCCACCACAGTGACTCACCTGGTACTCCACCACAGTGACTCACCTGGTACTCCACCACAGTGACTCACCTGGTACTCCACCACAGTGACTCACCTGGTACTCCACCACAGTGACTCACCTGGTACTCCACCACAGTGACTCACCAGGCACTCCACCACAGTGACTCACCTGGTACGCCACCACAGTGACTCACCTGGTACTGCACCACAGTGACTCACCTGGTACTCTACCACAGTGACTCACCTGGTACTGCACCACAGTGACTCACCTGGTACTCCACCACAGTGACTCACCAGGTACTCCACCACAGTGACTCACCAGGTACTCCACCACAGTGACTCACCTGGTACTCCACCACAGTGACTCACCTGGTACTCTATCACAGTGACTCACCTGGTACTCCACCACAGTGACTCACCTGGTACTGCACCACAGTGACTCACCTGGTACTCCACCACAGTGACTCACCTGGTACTCCACCACAGTGACTCACCTGGTACTCTACCACAGTGACTCACCTGGTACTGCACCACAGTGACTCACCTGGTACTCCACCACAGTGACTCACCTGGTACTGCACCACAGTGACTCACCTGGTACTCCACCACAGTGACTCACCTGGTACTCCACCACAGTGACTCACCTGGTACTCTACCACAGTGACTCACCTGGTACTGCACCACAGTGACTCTCCTGGTACTCCACCACAGTGACTCACCTGGTGCTCCACCACAGTGACTCACCTGGTACTGCACCACAGTGACTCACCTGGTACTCCACCACAGTGACTCACCTGGTACTGCACCACAGTGACTCACCTGGTACTGCACCACAGTGACTCACCTGGTACTGCACCACAGTGACTCACCTGGTACTCTACCACAGTGACTCACCTGGTACTGCACCACAGTGTGGACTCACAGTGACTGGTACTCCACCACAGTGACTCACCAGGTACTCCACCACAGTGACTCACCAGGTACTCCACCACAGTGACTCACCTGGTACTCCACCACAGTGACTCACCTGGTACTCCACCACAGTAACTCACATGGTACTCCACCACAGTGACTCACCTGGTACTCCACCACAGTGACTCACCTGGTACTCCACCACAGTGACTCACCTGGTACTCCACCACAGTGACTCACCTGGTACTCCACCACAGTGACTCACTAGGTACTCCACCACAGTGACTCACCTGGTACTCCACCACAGTGACTCACCTGGTACTCCACCACAGTGACTCACCTGGTACTCCACCACAGTGACTCACCTGGTACTGGCACCACAGTGACTCACCTGGTACTCCACCACAGTGACTCACCTGGTACTCCACCACAGTGACTCACCTGGTACTGCACCACAGTGACTCACCTGGTACTCCACCACAGTGACTCACCAGGTACTCCACCACAGTGACTCACCAGGTACTCCACCACAGTGACTCACCTGGTACGCCACCACAGTGACTCACCAGGTACTCCACCACAGTGACTCACCTGGAACTCCACCACAGTGACTCACCTGGTACTCCACCACAGTGACTCACCTGGTACTCCACCACAGTGACTCACCTGGTACTCCACCACAGTGACTCACCTGGTACTCCACCACAGTGACTCACCTGGTACTCCACCACAGTGACTCACCTGGTACTCCACCACAGTGACTCACCTGGTACTCCACCACAGTGACTCACCTGGTACTCCACCACAGTGACTCACCTGGTACTCCACCACAGTGACTCACCAGGTACTCCACCACAGTGACTCACCTGGTACTCCACCACAGTGACTCACCTGGTACTGCACCACAGTGACTCACCTGGTACTCTACCACAGTGACTCACCTGGTACTCCACCACAGTGACTCACCTGGTACTCCACCACAGTGACTCACCAGGTACTCCACCACAGTGACTCACCAGGTACTCCACCACAGTGACTCACCTGGTACTCCACCACAGTGACTCACCTGGTACTCTATCACAGTGACTCACCTGGTACTCCACCACAGTGACTCACCTGGTACTCCACCACAGTAACTCACATGGTACTCCACCACAGTGACTCACCTGGTACTCTACCACAGTGACTCACCAGGTACTCCACCACAGTGACTCACCAGGTACTCCACCACAGTGACTCACCAGGTACTCCACCACAGTGACTCACCTGGTACTCCACCACAGTGACTCACCTGGTACTCCACCACAGTGACTCACCTGGTACTCCACCACAGTGACTCACCAGGTACTCCACCACAGTGACTCACCTGGTACGCCACCACAGTGACTCACCTGGTACTCTCCAGAGCCTAGAGAGAGGGATGGCCTCAGTGGACCAGCCGTGCTGAGCAAAGTTGATGGGGGCGTCGAGGTGTGTGCCGGAGTGCTCAGAGGCGCAGAAGTCGTTCACCTCCTGCCTGCTCCCCGGGGCACAACGCTCTCAGTAATTATTAATTATCATTAATATGACAATATCTGCATATAAATAATCACAATAAACAATGTACGCTTATAATTAATCATGATAACAGTGTACGCTTATAATTAATCATGATAACAGTGTACGCTTATAATTAATCATGATAACAATGTACGCTTATAATTAATCATGATAACAATGTACGCTTATAATTAATCACAACCGTCAGTAGGACTCATTAATCCATTAATGAACAAGTTTGATTTTTTGTTTGTACATAGCCGACCATGAGCTCTCTCTTATCAATAAGTTCTTACGGTTGGTTGTGGTCTATTTCATTACTTCAACAGCCCATTGTTGAGGGAGTCCGTATAATAACGACGAGGACATATACCGACGTACATATACCGACGCACAACGCAATTAGAAACTAAAAATCAGTACTATTGAGTTTGGATAAATAGGAAAAATTTTTATATTCATTTTGCAAATACAAATTAAACTAACCTAACCTTCCTAGGCCTAATTAACGTTATCTGAGGGCTAATATAGTACATATGTGTACTATACTAGGCCTAGGATTATATGTTTGATTTTTAGCTTAATATTTTTCCGATTATAAACTGAAGAGTACCAAATTCCACTATCTAATTGCTTAGTACATAAATCTTTGTACTATGGTGAACATAGTTACATAAAGTACTATCTGAACAGGAGGATGGCTTATATTTTTTGGATGCACGAAAGACCCACTTTGTTTAGTTTATTATTTATCCGTCTTCAGTTAGAATGGCAAAAGCCTATTTAGTTGTGTGCGGCTTTTCATGTACTGTGTTGTGGGGACTGACTCACTGAGGTGTTTCTCCTCCCAACACGGCGTCAGTCCACGTCACAATGCTGGAAGTGACTAAGGCATGTAACACATATGTGTGTTATATTTAACACATATGTGTGTTACATTTAACACATATGTGTGTTATATTTAACACATATGTGTGTTACATTTGCGGTAGTGAGTGCTGAAAGCGAACACTTAGAGAGACACAAGTCAAATGTATGAGTTCTGTGTATATCTATATAAATCTATATAAATAAAAATGGATATGTTCGTTTGTGCATAACCGCTAATCTCCGAAAGTTCTTCACCGATTGCTTTGACATTTTCACACAACATTCCATTCGCATCTGTGTAAGTTTTTATATACATACTATAGATGTCACGTCTGTGACGGTAAAAAAAAATGTTTTTTTTTCTGAAAAACTTTTTTTTCATGTGTTATTTAATTGAGGGAAATCTTCGAAACCTCTTTACCGATTGCTTTGAAATTTTGAGACAACGTTGCATTCAAATGGGCACGTCTTTTTATATACCTACTATATAGATGCCACCCCTGTGACAGGTAAAAACATGCGTTTTTGAAAAACAGCGCCATCTGTTGCACATAATAGCAACACATGCTATACTAACTATGTTGCGATTCCATTTCAATGTTTCTGATTTCATTGATAAATTGAATTTTCATAAATTTCGATTTATTTTAATTTTGATTTAATTATTTTGTGTGACATTGCCTTGAAATTGAGCTGTGTTGTTTACCATACCATTTATTTCGTGAGTATAGTTTTTTTTTTTTTTTACATATTTTCATTTCGTGTTTTGAACAGTTTTTCTTATATTTCAGTGATGGGAACATCTGGGGCCAGATTCACAAAGCAGTTACGTAAATACTTACGAACGTGTACATCGTTCTTCAATCTTTGATGGCTTCGGTTATATTTATTAAACAGTTTACAAGCATAGAAACTTGCCAATCAACTGTTGTTATTGTTATAAACAGCCTCTTGGTACTTTGGAGCTCATTAACTGTTTAATAATAGTAAACAAAGCTGCAGAATATTGAGAAAAGATGTACAGGTTCGTAAGTGTTTGTGTAACTTCTTCGTGAATCTAGCCCCAGACCATTTGATGTTCCCAATTTTCTGATGGGAACATCAGATCATTTGATCTTCAGACGAGGGAGTGGGGAATGGTATGAACGACGAGGGGACGGGAGTGGGGGATGTTGGGGAGGACGAGAGGATAGGGGATAGGGTAAAGGTGGAGGAGGACAAGAAGACAAGGGAGTTGGGGATGGTGGGGACGAGGGGAATGGAAAATGGTTGGGAGGACAAGGAGATTAGGGAGTGGGGGATAGTGGGGAGGACTAGGAGACAGGGAAAGGTTGCTGTGCATGCTGAGCCACAGCAACGCATGGCCGGGTACAGTTAGTAGATAAATAAAAACGTAAATGTTCGTTTGTTCAAAATCGCTAACCTCCGAAAGTTCTTCACGATTGCCTTGAAATTTTCTCAAAACATTCCATTTACATCTTAGCGGGTTTTTATATACATATTATATTGATGTCATGTCTGTGACGGGAAAAAAACATGCTTCTTTTGAAAAACTGTGTTTATCAAAAGGGGCCTCGTAGCCTGGTGGATAGTGCGCAGGACTCGTAATTCTGTGGCGCGGGTTCGATTCCCGCACGAGGCAGAAACAAATGGGCAAAGTTTCTTTCACCCTATGCCCCTGTTACCTAGCAGTAAATAGGTACCTAGGTGTTAGTCAGCTGTCACGGGCTGCTTGCTGGGGGTGGAGGCCTGGTCGAGGACCGGGCCGCGGGACACTAAAGCCCCGAAATCATCTCAAGAAGATCATGTGAGGGAAATCTTTGAAACCTCTTTACAGATTGTTTTGAAATTTGGACAGAACGTTGCATTCGAACAAGTACGTGTTTATATACACCTGCTATATACATGTCTCACATTTGACGGGAAAAAACATGTTTTTTTTTTTTTTAAAGCACCATCTGTTGGACGTAAGAGCAACACACGCTGTAATCTCCCAAAGTTCTTCACCGATTGCTTTGAAACTTTGACACCACGTTCCAATCGAATATGCGCGCGTTTTTATATACCTACTATATAGATGCCACACCTGTGACAGGTAAACACATGCTTTTTTCCCAAAACAGCGCCATCTGTTGCATGTAATAGCAACACCTACTATTCTATATATGTTAAGCATTCCATTTCAATGTTTCTGATTGCATTGATAAATTGAATTTTCATAGATTTCGATTTATTTTCGTTTTGATTGAATTATTTTGTGTGACATTGTGTTGAAATTAAACTGTCCTATATACCATACCGTTCATTTCTTAAGTATAAGTATAGATGTCATACCTGTAACAGGTAAAACCATTTTTTTTTAAGAAACAGCGCCATCTTTTGTACGGAAAAGCATCACACGCTATACTAAATATGTTATGAATCCATTTCAATGTTTACGATTGCACTGAGAAACTGAATTTTCAAAGATTTCGATTTATTTTCATATTAATTTCAATATTTTGTGTGACATTGCATTGGAATTGAGCTGTGTTGTTTACCATACCGTTCATTTCGTGAGTATACTTTTTTTTTATTTTCATTATTTTTCATTTTTTTAATAGTTTTTCTTATATTTCAGTGATGGGAACATCAGATCATTTGATGTTCCCAATTTTCTCATGGGAACATTAGATCATTTGGGAATGCATCAGGCGAGGGAGTGGGAAATGGTGGGGGGACGGGAAGGTGGGAGATGGTGGGGTGGACGAATGGACGTTGGTGTCGGGAATGGTTAGGAGGACGAGGTTATGGTGGAGTGGAGGGATAGTGGGAAGGATAAAGGGATGGGGGAGGGAGGGAATAGTGGGGAGGACGAGGGTACGGGGGAGTGGGGAATGGTTGGGAGGACGAGGGGACGGGGGAGTGAGGAATGGTTGGGAGGAGGAGGGGGAAATGGTGTGGAGGACTGGGAGACAGGGGAAGGTTGCTATAGTTATAAGCTGTAAAATACTATATCAAATTTAATTCAGTATTTTAAATCCTAGTAAAGAGTCCACGGTTGTCGCTAGCATGTCAGGAGAGTTACTTGGTGGGACCTCTAATATCACGCAGACTGTTACCAAGCAACTAGCAGTGACCGGGAGTGAAGGCCAAGATGCCCCCGAGGAGGTGTGCCACACGGACGCAGGTCAGTGCCACAGGGAAGAGTGGGGATCTTAAACTAAACATAAATGCATAAATATTCAGAACAAAACAGAATATTGGTATTTATTTCTAGAAGCGTTAGCAACAAGACATTTTATGTTATTCTTCTGCGTTATCTTATCCTTGTTAGGCGCCATTTATATTATGCAGTCCAGCTTTGGTCACCGTACTAGAGAATGGATATTAATTCACCTGAACGCGGACAGAAAACGATGATGAAGTTATTAACAAGAACTTAAATCCATCCACATGAAGAGAGATTATATAAACTTAATTTACTTTCTCCCAAAAGAAGAAGTGTTAGAGGTGGCAAGATGGCAGCATACATAAAGATAAAGGGTATAAGAAAGATTATATAAATAAGGTATTAATATTTAAACTCAAAATAGATGCAGGAAAGATCTTGGTAAATACTTCTAACAATGCAGATTAGAATGTAACTTAATGACTAACCTAACAGAGGAAAATCGAAGTTAATGGTTAACCAAGCAAGTGAGAATCTATGTTAATAGCTAACTAAGATGAGGAGAATCACAACTGTTAACAACATCTTAATCCTTGAGCAATTCAGACTGATAATATACAGGATTTCGTCGGAAGGTTATGTTTAATGACCAACAACTCTGAAATACCTCACCAAATATTAATCTTATTGGGCCCCTTCTTGACGATCTTGTGGGAGAAGGGGGTGACTCTGGGGGAGTTGGGGGCGTCCACGTTGTAGGTGTAGGAGAGGTCAACGATCACCGCCCTGGTGGAGGCCGCTACCGCCGCCACCACCAGCGCCGCCACCTGCCACCCGCCCGCCATCCTCCCTAACGCCTTCCCCACCTCCGGCTCACAGTCGTCTCTGAGGGCAAATACCAATATTGATTAATATATTTTACTCAAAAGCGTTTGCAGAGCTTGCAGAGTTGTGGTTGGTTTGGGTACGCTCTCTGCAGCCTTCACAACACACTCCATGTACTTAATAAGCTCATAGGCCCGAAACACTACACATACTAGTGGCTGGACAAGAATATAAAAACTCTTGTATATACAAATTAATAAAAAATGAAATGTATTAAAGATACGGAGTTTAACTGTTCAGTGTAATATCTAAATCAGGTTCAGACCCGGCAGTGACCCATCAAGCTGTGATGGATTCTCACATCCTCACGTCAGCTTCTCACGTCACGTCTGATTCTCACGTCAGCTGCCTCCTGGTACCGTTAACTTCCAATTTTTACTGTCAGATGCTATTTGTCACCGTCAGCTGCCTCTTGTCACCGTCAGCTGTGTCTTGTCACCGTCAGCTGTGTCTTGTCACCGTCAGCTGTGTCTTGTCACCGTCAGCTGTGTCTTGTCACCGTCAGCTGTGTCTTGTCACCGTCAGCTGTGTCTTGTCACCATCAGCTGTGTCTTGTCACCGTCAGCTGTGTCTTGTCACCGTCAGCTGTGTCTTGTCACCGTCAGCTGTGTCTTGTCACCGTCAGCTGTGTCTTGTCACCGTCAGCTGTGTCTTGTCACCGTCAGCTGCCTCTTGTCACCGTCAGCTGTGTCTTGTCACCGACAGCTGCCTCTTGTCACCGACAGCTGTGTCTTGTCACCGTCAGCTGTGTCTTGTCACCGTCAGCTGTGTCTTGTCGCCATCAGCTGTGTCTTGTCACCGTCAGCTGTGTCTTGTCACCGTCAGCTGTGTCTTGTCACCGACAGCTGTGTCTTGTCACCGTCAGCTGTGTCTTGTCACCGACAGCTGTGTCTTGTCACCGACAGCTGTGTCTTGTCACCGTCAGCTGTGTCTTGTCACCGACAGCTGTGTCTTGTCACCGACAGCTGTGTCTTGTCACCGTCAGCTGTGTCTTGTCACCGACAGCTGTGTCTTGTCACCGACAGCTGTGTCTTGTCACCGACAGCTGTGTCTTGTCACCGACAGCTGTGTCTTGTCACCGTCAGCTGTGTCTTGTCACCGACAGCTGTGTCTTGTCACCGACAGCTGTGTCTTGTCACCGTCAGCTGTGTCTTGTCACCGACAGCTGTGTCTTGTCACCGTCAGCTGTGTCTTGTCACCGACAGCTGTGTCTTGTCACCGACAGCTGTGTCTTGTCACCGTCAGCTGCCTCTTGTCACCGTCAGCTGTGTCTTGTCACCGTCAGCTGTGTCTTGTCACCGTCAGCTGTGTCTTGTCACCATCAGCTGTGTCTTGTCACCGTCAGCTGTGTCTTGTCACCGTCAGCTGTGTCTTGTCACCGTCAGCTGTGTCTTGTCACCGTCAGCTGTGTCTTGTCACCGTCAGCTGCCTCTTGTCACCATCAGCTGTGTCTTGTCACCGTCAGCTGTGTCTTGTCACCGTCAGCTGTGTCTTGTCACCGTCAGCTGCCTCTTGTCACCGTCAGCTGTGTCTTGTCACCGTCAGCTGTGTCTTATCACCGTCAGCTGTGTCTTGTCACCGTCAGCTGTGTCTTGTCACCGTCAGCTGTGTCTTGTCACCGTCAGCTGTGTCTTGTCACCGTCAGCTGTGTCTTGTCACCATCAGCTGTGTCTTGTCACCTTCAGCTGTGTCTTGTCACCATCAGCTGTGTCTTGTCACCGTCAGCTGTGTCTTGTCACCGTCAGCTGTGTCTTGTCACCGTCAGCTGTGTCTTGTCACCGTCAGCTGTGTCTTGTCACCGTCAGCTGTGTCTTGTCACCGTCAGCTGCCTCTTGTCACCGTCAGCTGTGTCTTGTCACCGTCAGCTGCCTCTTGTCACCGTCAGCTGTGTCTTGCCACCGTCAGCTGTGTCTTGTCACCATCAGCTGTGTCTTGTCACCGTCAGCTGTGTCTTGTCACCGTCAGCTGTGTCTTGTCACCGTCAGCTGTGTCTTGTCACCGTCAGCTGTGTCTTGTCACCGTCAGCTGTGTCTTGTCACCGTCAGCTGTGTCTTGTCACCGTCAGCTGTGTCTTGTCACCGTCAGCTGTGTCTTGTCACCGTCAGCTGTGTCTTGTCACCATCAGCTGTGTCTTGTCACCGTCAGCTGTGTCTTGTCACCGTCAGCTGCCTCTTGTCACCATCAGCTGTGTCTTGTCACCGTCAGCTGTGTCCTGTCACCGTCAGCTGTGTCTTGTCACCGTCAGCTGTGTCTTGTCACCGTCAGCTGTGTCTTGTCACCGTCAGCTGCCTCTTGTCACCGTCAGCTGTGTCTTGTCACCGTCAGCTGCCTCTTGTCACCGTCAGCTGTGTCTTGTCACCGTCAGCTGTGTCTTGTCACCATCAGCTGTGTCTTGTCACCATCAGCTGTGTCTTGTCACCATCAGCTGTGTCTTGTCACCGTCAGCTGTGTCTTGTCACCGTCAGCTGTGTCTTGTCACCGTCAGCGGCCTCTTGTCACCGACAGCTGTGTCTTGTCACCGTCAGCTGTGTCTTGTCACCATCAGCTGTGTCTTGTCACCATCAGCTGTGTCTTGTCACCGTCAGCTGTGTCTTGTCACCGTCAGCTGTGTCTTGTCACCATCAGCTGTGTCTTGTCACCATCAGCTGTGTCTTGTCACCGTCAGCTGTGTCTTGTCACCGTCAGCTGTGTCTTGTCACCATCAGCTGTGTCTTGTCACCATCAGCTGTGTCTTGTCACCATCAGCTGTGTCTTGTCACCGTCAGCTGTGTCTTGTCACCATCAGCTGTGTCTTGTCACCGTCAGCTGCCTCTTGTCACCGTCAGCTGTGTCTTGTCACCGTCAGCTGTGTCTTGTCACCGTCAGCTGCCTCTTGTCACCGTCAGCTGTGTCTTGTCACCGTCAGCTGTGTCTTGTCACCGTCAGCTGTGTCTTGTCACCGTCAGCTGCCTCTTGTCACCATCAGCTGTGTCTTGTCACCGTCAGCTGTGTCAAGTCACCGTCAGCTGTGTCTTGTCACCGTCAGCTGCCTCTTGTCACCGTCAGCTGTGTCTTGTCACCGTCAGCTGTGTCTTGTCACCGTCAGCTGTGTCTTGTCACCGTCAGCTGCCTCTTGTCACCGTCAGCTGTGTCTTGTCACCGTCAGCTGTGTCTTGTCACCGTCAGCTGTGTCTTGTCACCGTCAGCTGCCTCTTGTCACCGTCAGCTGCCTCTTGTCACCGACAGCTGTGTCTTGTCACCGTCAGCTGTGTCTTGTCGCCGTCAGCTGTGTCTTGTCACCGTCAGCTGTGTCTTGTCACCGTCAGCTGTGTCTTGTCACCGTCAGCTGCCTCTTGTCACCGTCAGCTGTGTCTTGCCACCGTCAGCTGTGTCTTGTCACCGTCAGCTGTGTCTTGTCACCGTCAGCTGCCTCTTGTCAACTTCAGCTGTGTCTTGTCACCGTCAGCTGTGTCTTGTCACCATCAGCTGTGTCTTGTCACCGTCAGCTGTGTCTTGTCACCGTCAGCTGTGTCTTGTCACCGTCAGCTGTGTCTTGTCACCGTCAGCTGCCTCTTGTCACCGTCAGCTGCCTCTTGTCACCGACAGCTGTGTCTTGTCACCGTCAGCTGTGTCTTGTCACCGTCAGCTGCCTCTTGTCACCGTCAGCTGTGTCTTGTCACCGTCAGCTGCCTCTTGTCACCGACAGCTGTGTCTTGTCACCATCAGCTGCCTCTTGTCACCATCAGCTGTGTCTTGTCACCATCAGCTGTGTCTTGTCACCGTCAGCTGTGTCTTGTCACCATCAGCTGTGTCTTGTCACCGTCAGCTGTGTCTTGTCACCGTCAGCTGTGTCTTGTCACCGTCAGCTGTGTCTTGTCACCATCAGCTGTGTCTTGTCACCGTCAGCTGTGTCTTGTCACCGTCAGCTGCCTCTTGTCACCGTCAGCTGTGTCTTGTCACCGTCAGCCGTGTCTTGTCACCATCAGCTGTGTCTTGTCACCGTCAGCTGTGTCTTGTCACCATCAGCTGCCTATTGTCACCGTCAGCTGTGTCTTGTCACCGTCAGCTGTGTCTTGTCACCATCAGCTGTGTCTTGTCACCGTCAGCTGTGTCTTGTCACCGTCAGCTGCCTCGTGTCACCGTCAGCTGTGTCTTGTCACCGTCAGCCGTGTCTTGTCACCATCAGCTGTGTCTTGTCACCGTCAGCTGCCTCTTGTCACCATCAGCTGTGTCTTGTCACCATTAGCTGTGTCTTGTCACCGTCAGCTGTGTCTTGTCACCATCAGCTGTGTCTTGTCACCGTCAGCTGTGTCTTGTCACCGTCAGCTGCCTCTTGTCACCGTCAGCTGTGTCTTGTCACCATCAGCTGTGTCTTGTCACCGTCAGCTGTGTCTTGTCACCGTCAGCTGCCTCTTGTCACCGTCAGCTGTGTCTTGTCACCGTCAGCCGTGTCTTGTCACCATCAGCTGTGTCTTGTCACCGTCAGCTGTGTCTTGTCACCGTCAGCCGTGTCTTGTCACCGTCAGCCGTGTCTTGTCACCGTCAGCCGTGTCTTGTCACCGTCAGCTGTGTCTTGTCACCGTCAGCTGCCTCTTGTCACCGTCAGCTGTGTCTTGTCACCGTCAGCTGTGTCTTGTCACCGTCAGCTGTGTCTTGTCACCATCAGCTGTGTCTTGTCACCGTCAGCTGCCTCTTGTCACCGTCAGCTGCCTCTTGTCACCGTCAGCTGTGTCTTGTCACCGTCAGCTGTGTCTTGTCACCATCAGCTGTGTCTTGTCACCATCAGCTGTGTCTTGTCACCGTCAGCTGTGTCTTGTCACCGTCAGCTGTGTCTTGTCACCGTCAGCTGTGTCTTGTCACCATCAGCTGTGTCTTGTCACCGTCAGCTGCCTCTTGTCACCATCAGCTGTGTCTTGTCACCATCAGCTGCCTCTTGTCACCGTCAGCTGCCTCTTGTCACCATCAGCTGCCTCTTGTCACCGTCAGCTGTGTCTTGTCACCATCAGCTGTGTCTTGTCACCATCAGCTGTGTCTTGTCACCATCAGCTGCCTCTTGTCACCGTCAGCTGTGTCTTGTCACCATCAGCTGTGTCTTGTCACCGTCAGCTGCCTCTTGTCACCGTCAGCTGTGTCTTGTCACCGTCAGCTGTGTCTTGTCACCATCAGCTGTGTCTTGTCACCATCAGCTGTGTCTTGTCACCGTCAGCTGCCTCTTGTCACCGTCAGCTGTGTCTTGTCACCGTCAGCTGTGTCTTGTCACCATCAGCTGTGTCTTGTCACCATCAGCTGTGTCTTGTCACCATCAGCTGTGTCTTGTCACCATCAGCTGCCTCTTGTCACCGACAGCTGTGTCTTGTCACCGTCAGCTGCCTCTTGTCACCGTCAGCTGTGTCTTGCCACCGTCAGCCGTGTCTTGTCACCGTCAGCTGTGTCTTGTCACCGTCAGCTGCCTCTTGTCACCGTCAGCTGTGTCTTGTCACCATCAGCTGTGTCTTGTCACCGTCAGCTGTGTCTTGTCACCATCAGCTGCCTCTTGTCACCGTCAGCTGCCTCTTGTCACCATCAGCTGTGTCTTGTCACCATCAGCTGTGTCTTGTCACCATCAGCTGTGTCTTGTCACCGTCAGCTGTGTCTTGTCACCGTCAGCTGTGTCTTGTCACCGTCAGCTGCCTCTTGTCACCGACAGCTGTGTCTTGTCACCGTCAGCTGCCTCTTGTCACCGTCAGCTGTGTCTTGTCACCGTCAGCTGTGTCTTGTCACCGTCAGCTGCCTCTTGTCACCGTCAGCTGTGTCTTGTCACCGTCAGCTGTGTCTTGTCACCGTCAGCTGCCTCTTGTCACCGTCAGCTGCCTCTTGTCACCGTCAGCTGTGTCTTGTCACCGACAGCTGGCCCGTGTTATCGACAGCAGGGTGTTATCGACTGCCGACACGTGTTATCGTCAGCTGCCCTGTGTTATCGTCAGCTGCCCTGTGTTATCGTCAGCTGACCCATGTTATTGACATCTGGCCGGTGTTATCGACAGCTGGTCCGTGTTATCAACAGATGGCCCGTGTTATCGACAGCTGGCCCGTGTTATCGACAACAGGCCCTTGTTATCGACAGCTGGCTCGTGTTACCGACAGCTGGCCTGTGCTATTGACAGCTGGCCCGTGTTATCGACACCTGGCTCGTGTTATCGACAGCTGGCACTTGTTATCGACAGCTGGCATGTGTTATCGACAGCTGGAACGTGTTATCGACAGCTGGCCCGTGTTATCGACAGCTAGCACGTGGTATCGACAGCTGGCACGTGTTATCGACAGCAGGCCCGTGTTATCGACACCTGGTTCGTGTTATCGACAGCTGGCCCGTGTTATCGACAGCTGGCCCGTGTTATTGACAGCTGGCCCGTGTTATCGACAGCTGCTTCACCAAATGTTTACAACGCCAACAAAAGTGATTCAATAAATTTTTCAGGATCTTGCCGTGTTTGTGTCAGATGCTCACGTTCCTTACACCACACGTCAGTGTAACACCTGTAGCCCCACACGTCAGTGTAACACCTGTAGCCCCACACGTCAGTGTAACACCTGTAGCCCCACACGTCAGTGTAACACCTGTAGCCCCACACGTCAGTGTAACACCTGTAGCCCCACACGTCAGTGTAACACCTGTAGCCCCACACGTCAGTGTAACACCTGTAGCCCCACACGTCAGTGTAACACATGTAGCCCCACACGTCAGTGTAACACCTGTAGCTCCACACGCCAGTGTAACACCTGTAGCCCCACACGTCAGTGTAACACCTGTAGTTCCACACGTCAGTGTAGCACCTGTAGCCCCACACGTCAGTGTAACACCTGTAGCCCCACACGTCAGTGTAACACCTGTAGCCCCACACTTCAGTCTAACACATGTAGCCCCACACGTCAGTGTAACACCTGTAGCCCCACACTTCAGTGTAACACATGTAGCCCCACACGTCAGTGTAACACCTGAAGCCCCACACGTCAGTGTAACACCTGTAGCCCCACACGTCAGTGTAACACCTGAAGCCCCACACGTCAGTGTAACACCTGTAGCCCCACACGTCAGTGTAACACCTGAAGCCCCACACCTCAGTGTAACACTTGTTGCCCCACACGTCAGTGTAACACCTGTAGCACCACACGTCAGTGTAACACCTGAAGCCCCACACCTCAGTGTAACACTTGTTGCCCCACACGTCAGTGTAACACCTGTAGCCCCACACGTCAGTGTAACACCTGAAGCCCCACACCTCAGTGTAACACTTGTTGCCCCACACGTCAGTGTAACACCTGTAGCACCACACGTCAGTGTAACACCTGTAGCCCCACACTTCAGTCTAACACATGTAGCCCCACACGTCAGTGTAACACATGTAGCCCCACACTTCAGTGTAACACATGTAGCCCAACACGTCAATGTAACACCTGTAGCCCCACACGTCAGTGTAACACCTGTAGCCCCACACGTCCGTGTAACACCTGTAGACCAACACGTCAATGTAACACCTGTAGCTCCACACGTCTGTGTAACACCTGTAGCCCAGTAGTGTAAACCGGGCCATAGAGCGGCAATTTTCATTTTTTCCCATGCCGCTCTATGGCCCCTGGGTTTTCTCGAATTTTTTCATCATGCCGCTCTATGGCCCCTGGGTTTTGGAACTTTTTTCATCATGCCGCTCTATGGCCCCTGGGTTTTAGGAACTTTTTTCCGTATGCCGGTCTATGGCCCCTGGGTTTTCTCAGATTTTTTCTCTATGCCGGTCTCTGGCCCCAGGGTTTTCTCGAATTTTCTTTCATAGCCGGTCTTTGGGCCCATGTTTTTTCGTTACCCCGCTGACATGCACGGGCATTGCTAATGGTCGATGACGTCATCAACTTACCTGGGGATTAAAAGGCCGGCTCCTGGCCCCATCATATTTCGCACAGGCATTGCTAATAGTATTCTTCTTCCCTTAATAAGTCCGTTTTCTGTTATAGTATGTTTATTCCCATTTTTAATGTTTATAGCAAAGGGGGATTCAAATGCTGCCTTCTGTCAAGCCTAATGTGCAATGGCGTTAATCATTATAAGCTCGTTTTCTCAATAAGGTATTGCCGTACTGTTTCCCATTGTCTAAGATCACTTTATAGCTAAGATTACATAATAATAACATAAGAAATGAGTTCAAACCCTGTTTACAGAACGTGTATTTACCCAGGTCTTTTTCCTAAATCTAAAACTTATTCCAATTTATGTCCATTGTTTCATGTTCTGTCTAGTGTTGATAATTTTAATAGTCTATTAATATTCCCCCTTTATCATGTCCATTCATTCACAGCTCTATCATGTCACCTCTATTTCTTTGCCTTTCTAGAGAATGTAATTTAAGCTTTGTCAATCTTTCTTCAGAGATTGCTTATTGAGCATAGGGCAAAATAAAAATGAAAACTTACTATCTTTCATTTGTATGAAAACAGTCCCCTGCCAGGCGTGGTGACTTCAATGGGATTTTCAGTAGTAATCCAATATTACTGCATAAACGCATATATATATATATATATATATATATATATATATATATATATATATATATATATATATATATATATATATATATATATATATATATATATATATATATATATATATATATATATATATATTGCATCGTTAACGATGCATAAACAACAGGGCTCCATTAAGGAACATATACTCTCTTCCCACAACCAAACCATCGCCAGAGAAATCCTAGTAAACAACACAGAAATCATCGATAGATACAGCGATAGCAGGCGGCTTGACGTTTGCGAGGCACTACACATTAAGAAGTCAACACCAGCAATCAACAGTCAATTAATGCACAACTATATTCTACCCACCTCAAGACTCCGCTCCAATATAGAAGCATCAAGAAATATGGACCAATAGGCTTTCTACAATCACTTCCATTTCAATACCCATTGTTTCGTGTTCTGTCTTGTGTTGATGAAATTAATACCCTATTAATGCCACCTCTTGTTCTGTCTTGTGTTGATGAAATTAATACCCTATTAATACCACCTCACCCCATCCACCTCACTCAAATGTAGATATAAACAAAATCGGAGATGTGTAAGTTCTATTCAGTTGTGTATTTGTGAACTAAAGTCTTTGAAAATGTAATAAGTTTTACGAAACGCGCTCGTGTCGCGTCAGATTAGAAATAAAAATGAATTTTGGAGAATTGATTTTTGAATTACCTCCAACAGTGAAAAGAAATATACGAATGATTGAGAAAATTCGTGTTAGAATTATTAATCTTACTTTTTCGGTCATATTTAATAATATATGTCTACAGGAAAGACTGCTACCAAAATATACTAATATATATATATATATATATATATATATATATATATATATATATATATATATATATATATATATATATATATATATATATATATATATTAGTATACAACTTTAGAACACTTTCCCACCAGGAGACTCGACTCGAACCCTAGCCAGCACAGAAGCCTTCCAGCAACTGGCATAACAGGTACGCCTTAACCCGCTCCACCACCCGCTCAGACCCTTAAAAGAGATGGTAATTTCGGAGTATTTAAATACACCAAAGATCACCACCTCCCAAGAGCACTAGAGCAAGTGAGGGGTCATTTAGACGTTAATTTCATCAAGTCCCTGTTAATATGGGAAGACACAGTGTCTATGCTTAAGGCACAACTCTCCTAAACACGAGAGTTAAGTATATATATTAGTATATTTTGGTAGCAGTCTTTCCTGTAGACATATATTATTAAATATGACCGAAAAAGTAAGATTAATAATTCTAACACGAAATTTCTCAGTCTTTCGTACATTTCGTTTCACTGTTGGAGGTAAATCAAAAATCAATTCTCCAAAATTCATTTTTATTTCTAGTCTGACGCGACACGAGCGCGTTTCGTAAAACTTATTACATTTTCAAAGACTTTAGTTCACAAATACACAACTGAATAGAACTTACGCATCTCCGTTTTTATATCTACATTTGAGTGAGGTGGAAGGGGTGATGTGGCATTAACACAAGACAGAACAAGATGTGGTATTAATAGGGTATTAATTTCATCAACACAAGACAGAACAAGAGTATTAATAGGGTATTAATTTCATCAACACAAGACAGAACACGAAACAATGGATATTGAATAGAAGTGTTTGTAGAAAGCCTATTGGTCCATATTTCTTGATGCTTCTATATTGGAGCGGAGTCTTGAGGTGGGTAGAATATAGTTGTGCAATAATTGGCTGTTGATTGCTGGTGTTGACTTCTTGATGTGTAGTGCCTCGCAAACGTCAAGCCGCCTACTATCGCTGTATCTATCGATGATTTCTGTGTTGTTTACTAGGATTTCTCTGGCGATGGTTTGGTTGTGGGAAGAGATTATATGTTCCTTAATGGAGCCCTGTTGCTTATGCATCGTTAAACGCCTAGAAAGAGATGTTGTTGTCTTGCCTATATACTGGTTTTTTTGGAGCTTACAGTCCCCAAGAGGGCATTTGAAGGCATAGACGACGTTAGTCTCTTTTAAAGCGTTCTGTTTTGTGTCTGGAGAGTTTCTCATGAGTAGGCTGGCCGTTTTTCTGGTTTTATAGTAAATCGTCAGTTGTATCTTCTGATTTTTGTCTGTAGGGATAACGTTTCTATTAACAATATCTTTCAGGACCCTTTCCTCCGTTTTATGAGCTGTGGAAAAGAAGTTCCTGTAAATAGTCTAATAGGGGGTATAGGTGTTGTGTTAGTTGTCTCTTCAGAGGTTGCATGGCTTTTCACTTTCCTTCTTATGATGTCTTCGACGAAACCATTGGAGAAGCCGTTATTGACTAGGACCTGCCTTACCCTACAGAGTTCTTCGTCGACTTGCTTCCATTCTGAGCTGTGGCTGAGAGCACGGTCGACATATGCGTTAACAACACTCCTCTTGTACCTGTCTGGGCAGTCGCTGTTGGCATTTAGGCACATTCCTATGTTTGTTTCCTTAGTGTAGACTGCAGTGTGGAAACCTCCGCCCTTTTCCATGACTGTTACATCTAGAAAGGGCAGCTTCCCATCCTTTTCCATCTCGTAAGTGAAACGCAGCACGGAACTCTGCTCAAATGCCTCCTTCAGCTCCTGCAGATGTCTGACATCAGGTACCTGTGTAAAAATGTCGTCAACATACCTGCAGTATATGGCCGGTTTCAAGTTCATGTCGACTAAGACTTTTTGCTTGATGGTACCCATGTAGAAGTTTGCAAACAGGACACCTAGGGAGAACCCATGGCGACCCCATCTACTTCCTTATACATGTGCCCGTCCGGGCTCAAGAAGGGTGCCTCTTTAGTACAAGCTTGGAGTAGTTTCCTCAGAATATTTTCTGGTATGTCAAGAGGAGTACAGGCTGGATCACGATACACTCTGTCGGCTATCATTCCGATTGTCTCGTCCACAGGTACGTTGGTAAACAGCGATTCTACGTCCAACGAGGCTCTTATCCCTGTGGCCCGTGTGCCCCGCAGTAAGTCAACAAATTCCTTTGGAGACTTCAGGCTGAAGGCGCAAGGAACATAAGGCGTCAGCAGGCCGTTGAGTCGCTTCGCCAGCCTGTACGTGGGTGTGGGTATCTGGCTAATGATTGGCCGAAGTGGGTTTCCAGGCTTGTGCGTCTTGACATTTCCATACGCATATCCAGGTTTATATTCCCCAATGATCTTTGGCAGGTGGAGTCCGGATTTCTTGGCGTTCACAGTTTCGATCAGTTTGTTGACCTTTGCTTTTAATTCGGCTGTAGTGTCCTTCGTTACCCTTTGGAACTTAGTTTGGTTAGAGAGTATGATGTTCATTTTCGCCAGTCGCCAATATATGTCATTCTTAAAAAGACGAATATCTGGCGAAAATGAACATCATACTCTCTGACCAAACTAAGTTCCAAAGGGTAACGAAGGACATTTCTAGTCTGACGCGACACGAGCGCGTTTCGTAAAACTTATTACATTTTCAAAGACTTTAGTTCACAAATACACAACTGAATTGAACTTACACATTCTCCGATTTTGTTTATATCTACATTTGAGTGAGGTGGATGGGGTGAGGTGGTATTAATAGGGTATTAATTTCATCAACACAAGACAGAACAAGAGGTGGCATTAATAGGGTATTAATTTCATCAACACAAGACAGAACACGAAACAATGGGTATTGAAATGGAAGCGATTGTTGAAAGCCTATTGGTCCATATTTCTTGATGCTTCTATATTGGAGCGGAGTCTTGAGGTGGGTAGAATATAGTTGTGCATTAATTGACTGTTGATTGCTGGTGTTGACTTCTTAATGTGTAGTGCCTCGCAAACTTCAAGCCGCCTGCTATCGCTGTATCTATCGATGATTTCTGTGTTGTTTACTAGGATTTCTCTGGCGATGGTTTGGTTGTGGGAAGAGAGTATATGTTCCTTAATGGAGCCCTGTTGTTTATGCATCGTTAACGATGCAATATATATATTATATATATATATATATATATATATATATATATAT